TAGTAGTAGTAGTCGTAGTAGTCGTAGTAGTAGTAGTAGTAGTAGTAGTAGTAGTCGTAGTAGTAGTGGTGGTAGTAGTAGTAGTATTAGTAGTAGTAGTAGTAGTACTGGTAGTAGTGGTAGTAGTGGTAGTAATAGGAGGAGTAGCAGTATTAGTCGTCGTGGTGGTGGTATTAGTGGTAGTAGTAGCGGTAGTGTAGCAGTCGTAGTAGTAGTAGGAGTAGTAGTAGTAGTAGTAGTAGCAGTAGTAGTAGTACTAGTAGTAGTAGTAGTAGTAGTAGTAGTAGCTGTTGTAGTAGTAGCATTAGGACGAAGAGTAGGAGTAGTAGTAGTCATAGTAGTAGTAGTAGTAGTAATAGTAGTAGTAGTAGTAATAGTAGTAGTAGTAGTAGTAGTAGCCGTAGTAGTAGTAGTAGTAGTAGTAGTAGTAGTAGTAGTAGTAGTAGTGGTAGTAATAGTAGTAGTAGTAGTGGAAGTCGTAGTAGTAGTCGTAGTAGTAGTCGTAGTAATAGTAGTAGTAGTAGTAGTAGTAGTAGTAGTAGTAGTAGTAGTAGTAGTAGTAGTAGTAGTGGTGGTACATGTAGCACCGTATGCACCACAGTGCTTGTGTACACGACAGCGCCTGCGTGCACAATTGCGCTTGTTGCGTGCACCGCAATGCCCACGTACAAAAAGCAACCCCAAGTGCAGCGCAGCGCTTGAGTACACTACCGTGCCTGCGTGCACCACATTATCTGTGTGAGCTCGCCCTGCGTTCACCCCGATGCCTGCGTGCACCACAACGCTTCTGTACACCACCTGTTGCCGCAGCCCCCGTGTCTGCGTGCACCTCTCCGGGCCTCCGGGCCACGTCGGTCGTCGTCGTGTTCGTCCTGCTCCTCCTCCCGCACCTTTTCCCCCTCCTTTCTTTCTCCTCCTCCTCCTCCCTCCTCCTGCCCCTCCTCCTCCTCCTCCTCCTCTCCATCCCTCTCCTCACCTCCTACACAGCTCCTCCTCCCTCCTTCTTTTCCTCCTCCTCCTCCTCGTCCTCCTCCTCCTCCGCCTACTGCTGCTGCTGCTCTTGCTGCTGCTGCTGCTGCTGCTGCTCCTCCTCCTCCTCCTCCTCCTCCTCCTCCTCCTCCTCCACCTCCTCTATTGGAAACTGCACGCGTTCACGCCTGTAGCCGCTCTCCCCGCGTCACCGTTACGTGTGGGGGGGTGGGGTCGGGGGGGGGGGCAGCAAGAGCTACGCCGCCCAAGAAGTAAGAAAGGAACGATCTCAGGGGGCCTGGGGCGCCCCCTGGCCTCCCCCGAAGGCGGCGGCGGCGGCGGCGCGGCACGGGGCCGAAGGGCCCGAGCCGCGGGCCGCCGGCGCGGCGGGAAGCTGGGGCGCGGCGCGCGGGCGGCCTGCGTGCTGTGGCTGCCGCCGTAGCTCTGCGCGAGGATCGGCGGCGACGAGAGGGGCGGGCAGCCCACCGTCGAGAGGGAGCGATGCGCCCGTCGCGCTTCCGTACATAGGGGGCCACATGCGAACCCTACCCCTACCCCCCACGATTTCTGAGGGGGGGGTGGGGTTCACTCCGTTCGGGAGCTCCCGAGCGAAGTGAGCCCCACCCTCCCCCTCAAAAATCGTGGGGGGCAGGGGGTAGGGTTCGCACGTGGCCCCCTAGTATGATCGGCGGCAGGCGAGGGGGGAGGCGAGGAGGAGGAGAAGGCCGTGTCAGGAGGCGGCGGGGCTCCTCGAAGCCATCGGCGCCCTCTGGGAAGTGTATCCTCCGTCTTCGGGGGAGGCTCGGAAGGCCGGGGGCCTCCCGAGCCTCCCGAGCAGGCCTGCCCCCTCCTCGCTTCCCCCCTGGGCGCCGCCGCCGAACCAGAAGGAGCGCTGATGCCTCTTAGGTTTACACTGGTCCTCCTCCTCCTCCTCCTCCTCCTCCTCCTTCCTCCCTCCTCCCTCCTCCCTCCTCCTCCTCCTCCTTCCTCCCTCCTCCTCTCCTCCTCCTCCTCCTCCTCCTCCTCCTCCTCCTCCTCCTCCTCCTCCTCCTCCTCCTCCTCCTCCTCCTCCTACCTCCCTCCTCCTCCTCCTCCTCCTCCTCCTCCTCCTCCTCCTCCTCCTCCTCCTCCTCCTCCTCCTCCTCCTCCTCCGCCTCCTCCTCCCGAAAACGACGGGGCCTTCACGTGGGCACGGCGAGCCTCGGCCGCGAGGAGGCCCCCCGGCCTGGATCCGAGGAGCGGCCCCGAGCACGGGGGCCACGCCTGCGCCCCGCAGGGGCACCGGCTGCAGCGCCTGCGACGGAAGGTGCCCAGGGACGCACAGATCGTTAACGGGCGAAGAACGGTATAAGATAAACTTTTTCGCTGTCGGGGGCGTCTGTCCCTGGGCGGCTGGAAAGTTTGTACCCTTACGGTGGCACCGTAGGGGTATAAACTTTCCAGCCGCCCAGGGACAGGCGCCCCCGACAGCGAAAGAGTTTATGTTATACCGTTCTTCGCCCGCTGAGATAGACAGACACAGAGAAAAGGGTCCCCCATGTGTTCCCACGCTTTCCATGTCTTCGTCTCCCCCCCCCCCCGCTTCCCGTGCCTCCCCAGATCACCCTGGGAGTCGACGATTCATCGTGTCTGTGTCTTCTTCCCTCCTGAGTCTTGGCTGAAGGCGGGGGGACCGGCTCGGGGGGGGGGGGGGGGCATCGAGCTGGAGTCGGCGAGGCGCCGCCGGCAGCTCGGCGGCGGGGCCTCCGATCGCCGAGCCGCACGCCCCCGTGCGGAGTGAACTGGGGGGCCACCGCCGGCGGGGGGCGGGCGATGCGGCGTCGATACGCTTTCCCCTCGGCCTCTCCCCCCCTCCCGAACGAGAATCCTCGCAGAGGCACCCCTCGGGGGGCACCCCGGAGGAGACCGTCCAGGAGGAGGCTTCGCAAGTCGTGGTCCGAGGAGCGTGCCCGGACGAGAGGGGGACTGGGGGACGCGTTGGGAGAAGAGGAGGGGCCACGATGCCCCCCCACCCCTGGTCACCACCCCCCTCTGGGACGCTCGGGAGCCCAGGGGCGGGCACCACACGTGGTCGTTGGGGGGCCTCGCGGAAGGCGCGGACCGTCGGCGTCCCTGGATGCATGTCCAGTCTGGGGGGCCCCATGCGAACCCTACCCCTACCCCCCACGATTTGTAAGGGGGGGGGGGTCACTTCGCTCGGGAGCTCCCGAACGAAGTGAACCCCACCCTCCCCCTCAGAAATCGTGGGGGGTAGGGGTAGTGTTCGCATGGGGCCCCCTAGAGTCGGGCTGCTGAAACGAGGAGCGACACAGAAGGAATGGAACCCCCTTTTTGGCCGCAAATGGGCCCGCGCGCACAAGGAGGGCCACAGAGAAACCGACACGGAAGGACCTGAGAAACATCGAGCCCCTTTCAAACCCAATGTTCCTCATGTTGATCGTTTGTTATTAATTGTTTTGCAGATTATCTGCGCGGGCCCTCGCACCCCCCCCTCCCCCCCCCCGTGGAGTAGATCTTGGCTGTTTTGGGCGCCTGTTTCGAGCAGGTGGAGCCTCCCCCAGAGGACGCACTGCTGCAAACAGTCGCACCAAGCAGAGGTCCAGAGCCAGACCCCCCCTCCCCCCCCTTCCGCCCAATGTCGAAACGCCGAATAAGAAAACGCTCACATTTCTCGGGGGCGCGCAAACATGGATTGGCGATCCATGGATTTGGCGCGCGGTCGCCAAGTCCATGGATCCGGGGAGGTGCCCTCCCCAAAAGGCGGCCTGCGCCGCCTCGCTCGGCGGCGGGAAGCCGCGATTCCCCTTGGAAACGGGAGCCGCCGCCAATCCACGCCCCTTGATCCATGTTTGCGATCGCCTGAATTTCAGCGTCTTGACTGCATCGCTGCCCCCTGTTGAGCAGGGACCGACCCTCCCGGCATTCCTACAGTCCTATCACGAAATGTTCTTAGAACCCAAACATGTTCCAAGAACAAAAACAATGTTCGTAGACCCGATGTGTTCAAACAAGGCAGACTCCACCAGAAACGTTCTGAGAACGTCTCGTGGGAACCACAAAAGGTTCTCAGAACACTGTTTGGTGGGGCTGTACTCCAGATTTCGTAATAAAGGGAGGGGGGTCTCATTTCGGGGGGGGTCTCTTCCGGGCTATCTTGGAAGGCCTGGGGGGTCTGGGGACGATGTTTTGGAGGGCTCTCCCACGGGGGGAGGTCTGAAATGGCTTGTCTTGGGGGGTCCAGACCCCCTCCCTCTGAGTACGAAATCTGGAGTAGGCGAGCCAGGACGCTTCGCCACTGCTTGACCCTGGGCTGCTCGCACAGAGACATGCTAATACTATGTGTCCTCCTTGGAGGCGCGCGTCCGACCCAAACATATAGTATACCCATCTTGTAGTATATCGTTTCCCGAGCGGTGTGGCCAGAAAGCGCCTGCCACGACGCATGTACTACAAGATTTCTCGGTGTGCGCATCGCCCCCGGCGAGGCGACGCACATATAGTATAAGTATGGTGGGGTGACGCCGATGGGCTGCTCGCACCCGTCGCCGCCTCCGAGATGATGGCCAGGAGGGTGCACGAGACCTGCGCGGCGCACGGGCGGCCTGGGGCGCCCAGGGCGGCCAGGGCGCCGAGGCGCCGGGGGCGCCGGGGGGGCGCACGAGACCTCGCGCGCGAGAGAACCAAGGGCATCGTCAAGTCGGGCCTGTCCCCCTGCAGAGGGATTTTCGACGACAAAAAAAAAGATACCCCAAAAATAATCAAGAAAAATGATCAAACAAATTTAGTATTGTTTGACCTCTTGGGGGTATTGGGGGGGTATTTTTTGTTTTTCGTCGAAAATCCCCCTGTAGGGGGACACGCCCGACATGAACCGAGGGCATCGTTAGGTCGGGCATGTCTCCCTACCTCGGGGATGGACAGACCCCCCTTTAGCAAAACGTGGTTTAGTGAAGACGACCTGAGGCCCAAACCTGGCGGGCGCAGGCCTGGAGAATAACGGCCACGGCGCCCTCTCGAGAACCGAAAACTGACAATTCACTAATCGACGTGTCACTGTTGGGGGTTCTGTCCACCCCCGACTACCGGCCGATTTTGTGAAGGGGCCCGAGGAGACACAAAAAGTACACACAAACAAAAAGATTCCCCATACTTTCCAGCATTTTCTGTGTTTTCGTCTTCCCCCCCACTTCCCATATTTTCCCATGTCTTCTGGGGAATCGACGATTAATTGTGTCTGTGTGATTTTCCTCCTCCTGAACCTCACGCGCAAGAGAACCAGGGGCATCGTTGGGTCGGGCACGTCCCCCTACAGGCCGACTTTGGACGAACAAGAACGACTGCCTGCCAGACCACCCCAGCCCAACCCGAAGACCCGGATTTCGGCGGGTTGGGGGGGGCACGGGTTCCATGTGTGTCGTCTCAGAATGTTCCCCGACACCCCCACACTGGAAATGAAGGGCAAATTGAGGCCTTCGGGTTGGGTTGGGGTTGTTTGGTCGGTGGTAAAATAAAACAGAATCAACACATATTCAAAAAAATCCAAAATAAAAAAAATTGGTCCCATAACTATTTTTGACTATTTTTGAAGATTCCTACTGTAGAGGGATACGCCCGACTTAAATCTACTGACCTGGTCCGAACCCGGGACAGTCGGGCCCTCCAGGATCCTGCAAGCACCTGGTCGCCAGTGAGCCATTGGCAATTTGCAAGATCCTGAGAGATCCGGCGCTCTGGCTGACCCCCGTTTGCACCGACCCCCGTCCCAAGGCTCCCGAGGGCAGAGGATCGAGGTTTCTGGCCGTCTTGCGCCCTTTCCGAGCGGAGTCCCCGCACGCAACCCGCACGATGCAATATGCTGCCTGCATGTGTGCTGGCCTCTGGGAACCTCCAGGGACCTGGGGGATTCACCTTTTACTCGGGGCCCGATTCTTTTTGCGCTTCCCCGAAATTCGCTGGCCCAACGGGCCAAGAGCGTGCTGAGAGGTCCAGGAGTGCTCCAGCACGTCCAAGATGGTTTCGCCACGGTCCACGAGGGCTCCCGAAGGCCCCAAGAGCGCTCCCCGTCTGCTCCCAGGGAGGCCCGAATCATGTACTTCCCTTGTGTTTGAGAGATTTTGAAGGGGCCCCAGGACACACAAATAAATACACACAAATAAAAATATTCCCCATATTTTCCCATATTTTCTGGGTTTCTGTCTTCCCCCCCACTTCCCATATTTTCCCATATTTTCTGGGAATCGCCGATTAATTGTGTCTGTGTGTTTTTTCCCCTCCTGAGATTTGCCGGGCTCCACCTGCTCCGGCCGCCTGAGGCCCCGCCTTCCTGTGCCCTGTCTCCTGAAATTGAAGCTGGCTGCGCGTAGCCCGCCTAGCTTTTGGCGGAAGAGGTTCGCTCTCGCCCCGCAGACCAAAAACTGTGTTCGAGGGATTTCGGCGTTCTCGCCTTCTCGGCTCTCCGACAAGATGGCCAAAGAGGCACCCAAGATGGCCCAAAGACTCCAAAGTCAGTCCGAGAGGTCTCCAAGAGAGCCCCAAAACAGCCCAAGGGGGGCCCCAGGACGGCACAAGAAAGAGGCCCCCAAGGAGGGTCCCGAGGCCCGCGGAGGAGCCCAGGAGGGGGAACGTGAATCTAGATGTCGAGACCGTCCTTCAAGCGGCCTCCCAGAGCCCCCCCCCCCTCCCTCCGAGCCCCCCCCGCAACACCCCGCGAGCGCACCTTGCCGTCGCTCGGACGTCCATGTCCCATGCGTTTTTCGGTTTCGCGCGTGCTTTTTTTTGCTCCATGGTCCAGGATGGTCCTCGATGGTTCTCGCCGAGAAAAAATGCACACGTCCGAGCGATGCCAAGACACAGGATAGTGCCAGGGAGGGAGCGAATCGCTCGAACCCGGCGGACCACCTGCGGGCCGTCGCCGTGCTGGCCGTAGAGGGCAGATGCTGAGATGATGGTGAAAATGGAGGAGCGCGGCTTCCGCCAGCCCCCACCCCCCCCGTTGGATGTCCGTTCTGGGGACCTTCCTGGAGCCACTCGCTCCACTCGTGCATCGAAGCTGCGTCGAACGTCCGTCGATCTGGGTCGAACCTGAGCCGAACCTGAGTCGAACTTGAGTCGAACTTGAGTCGAACTTGAGTCGAACTTGAATCGAACTTGAGTCGAAGTGGGGTCGAACAGATCCGTGAGGTGGGCTCCAAGAAGGCCCCCAGAACGAACATCTGACCCCCGCCTTCCGCCGGCCGATGCCGGCATGCCGCCCGCAGGTGTCATGCATCCTCCCGGGGAGGTGTGAAAATACGAGCGCAGCGCGCTCTCAAGCGCGAGGCTCACGCTCCTTCTCCTCCTCCTCCTCCTCCTCCTCCTCCTCCTCCTCCTCCTCCTCCTCCTCCTCCTCCTCCTGCTCCTCCTCCTTCTCCTCCTCCTCCTCCTCCTCCTCCTCCGCTTCCTCCCCCCACTCCTGGCCCTTTCGATCAGGGTCGGCGGCACCGGCCGTCAGGCCTCTCCAATACGAACGCAACGCGCTCTCAAGCGCGAGGCTCGCGCGCGTGACGGCTCCCAGGACACGCCAAAACACGAGCGAGGCGAGCCCTCGGGGCAGCGAGAGCCTCGTTCCGACGCAGTCCTCACGCCTTCCCTGCCTGGCATTCTCTGGCGACGCGCAGAGCTGGACCGAAACGCTGTCTTGCTGGACTTCGGCTGTGTTTTTGTTTGTCCGTTTGGGCAGGGAGGTACAGGAAAACTGGTAGAGAGAGCAACACGAAAAACGAAACGGAACAAAAACGAAAAACAACGTTTAGGTTCAGCCCTGGCGACGCGCGTGGCACGTGATCATTCCCTCACGGCTGCGGCACTGCCATTTCGGTACATCCCTAACGCACGTGTTGCTCCGCACTCTACCGGGGCACGTGCCGCTACGTGCAATCTGCGCTACTGAGGGCCACGAAGGGCTCAATTCCAGATACTCTCGACGCCTTTCCTTTGCCAAATTATTCTGGCACGCGTGAAAATACGAGTGTTCTGCGCCCTCAGGCCCCTGAGACATGCTTTACAAACTAATGTGGGCCACGAGGTCCCTGGATGATGTATAAAAACACATGAATTGCCAGTCCGTTTTGATGGGGACCGTGGAGCCCCAATTCGGCACACCCTTCACGCATGTCGTGCTCCATGGACCCCAGGAGGCCCTGAGCTGTCCTCCAAGACCGCCTAGTCCACCGAGGTGAGTATCGTTTAACCCATCCCCATCCCCAGCGGCGTGGCATGGGCCCCACTGGCCGATCTACCCCCTCAGTGGGGATATAGGCCGTTCCCTTCGGGTTTCAAGGGGTGTATCCCCAGCTGGGGGGGGGGGGTCATCTGGTGGGGGTCTCGAAGGGGCAGGGGACGGGGCCGGGGATTGGTTGGACGCTACCGACGAAGGGCGCAGCTACTCTGCCAAGGAGCCGTCGAGGCAGTCTCCCCGACACCCTCCCCCCCGGCTGCAGCAGCCGCGCGCGGCCTTCCCCCTGGGGCCCGCCGTGCCTCCCGCCCCGCGGGCTCCCTCTCGGCGGGGCCCCTTTCCGCGGGCCGTGGCCGCGTCGGCCTTCGAGGCGAGATGCCGAGGCAGCCGTGGCCGGGAGGACGGGACGCGCAGAGACGTGCTGGCACTGTGCGCTCGCCCTGGAGGCGCGCGCGCCCGACCCACACACGTGTAGTATGCTCATCTTGTAGTGGGTCGCTTCCCGAGCGGCGTGGCCAGAAAGCGCCCGCCACGACGCATATACTATCAGAATTCTCGGTCCGCGCATCGCCCCCGAGGGGCGACGCATATATATGTATGTGTATATATATATATAGAGATAGATAGATAGATAGATAGATAGATAGATAGATAGATAGATAGATAGATAGATAGATAGATAGATTCCGATGTATATGCCTTTATAAGGCCGGGGACCCCGGACGGAGCCCCCCCCCCAAACGAGTTTCGGCCTTCCCCGAGATTTTCGGGCGGTCCCAGAAGCGCCCCAGACGGCCCGAGATGCTCCCAAGAGGGGTCCACGAGCGCTCCAAGACAGCCCAAAACGCTCCAAGAGACCCCAAGACCGCCCAAGACCGTCCAAGGGGGCCCCGAGACGCCCCAAGGGGCCTCCAAGAGGCTTCCCAAGAGGGCTCCCAGAGGGACAGTTCATTGATTTTTGTGTATGGTTTTCAGAGGTTTTTCTGGTTCTCCCTTTTAAGATCGCCCCAATATAGCCCGAGAGGCCCCCCAAAGAGCCCGAAAACGATCCAAGAGAGTCCCAAGACAGCCCAAGAGGGCTCCAAGACGGGCCCAAGAGAGCCTCAAGAGCGCCCAAAGAGGCACCCAAGAGGGCCCCAAGACGCCGCCAGGAGAGCCCCGCGACGGCCAAAGGCCTCCAAGACGCCCCAAGATGGCCCAAAAGGGCCCCGAGACGACCCAAGAGAACCCCAACAGGGCCCTAAAAGGGATCCACAAGGGCCCCAAGAAGACTCCCAAGAGGCCCCAAAACGCTACATAACACCAGGGCTCCCAACACTGAGCTTCAATGGTACCCCCAGAAGCCTTCCAATATTTCTTTTCCTCCATC